AGGTCTCTAGTTAAAGTCTTTAAGTCAACAACACTCCTCTATAAAGAATCGTTTAAATCAGCAAGTTCACAATAGACTGTGTCATTTACTCAAAGAACCATCAGGTTGTGTTACAATGATTGGAGCATTTGCCATGTCTTGCTTCAAGGCAACCCAAACTCAACCAGAGATTTACTAAGTGGCAATTATCTTTGTATGAATTAAAACCTTGTAGAATGGGTTTTATCTACGATAACTCTGGCGTATCACTGCTGTCGTGAAAGCAGCATATGTTTCCTTGTAAGAAAACTTACCATTAAAAACAAAGTGAATGGGAATGATGATGAGATGAAATGCATTTTAGAATATAAATTCGTATAGTCCTCCTAGGAAAGACAGTGGTAACAGAAACTAGAGGATTTAAAAATATTTTAGCCTATAATTCAGATATTTTTTATGGGGATTTATTGTCAAGAAATGCAGACTCTTCAGGACTTTCTGCATTGAAGAGTGCTCAAACAAGATGAGCTATATTGCTGTAGGCAGGTTACCACAGACAGAGATGTTATAATAAATAATAAATATAGGCAGAACCATATGAAGTTGCCATTTTGCTGAGAGAAACAAGTGAATACCAGCATTTTCATATGGCTCAACCTAACAGTTGTCAGGAGTCTGGATGCACTCAAGCACACTGACCAATTTTGTAGGCGGCTAGGAACTCTGGTTCTAGATGTTGGTTGGATCTCACTCCAGTAGCCCCAAGCATGTAATTCACTTGGTCTCAGTTCTTTAATCTGTGAAATGAAATTATAACACTGTACCTCCTGTTCTGTGGGCATATAGTGTTATAATAAGCCATTGTTTGCTGTTCAGATCCAGAGACCAGAAGGAGCACATTACTGATTGTTTTTGCTATGGATACTTTTTCAACTTGAAGATATGGAAACCGCGTACCTTAGCAAGTAGTTTCCTAACGCAGCATTTTACAGGTAAATGAATTTACAGTGGCAAAGTTAGCTTTTTACTTTTTTTTTTTGGCCAAGAACTGATTTGTAATCCTTTCTGCCAGTCTTTCCTGCTCCCACTCTCCTGCTGCAAAATCTTTCTTCCAGAACCACAGATCAGCTTTCTGTTACTATAAACTAATTTTTATTTTCTAGGATTTTATATACGTAAACTCATTATTAGTTACATAGTTTTTGGCTTGCATCTTTTGTTCAGCATAATTATTTTGAGATTCATTCATGATGTACCATATATCAATAATACTTTCTTTTATGTGGATAGCAGCATTCTTTTAGAGTCCTAGTGGCACAGTGGTTAAGTGCTCAGCTAGTAATGAAAAAATACCATGGTTTTGAACCTATCAGTCCCCCTGCAGGAGAAACGACGAGTTGTATCTGGCAATCTACTCACGGGCACATTGCAGCTGGGAAAACACTATGGGGCTGTTCTACTCTGTTGATCTGAGTCTAATCAACTTGACGGTACTCCATCATATAGAGAGACCCTAGTTTTGTCTATCCATTCACCTGTCAATGAACATTTGAATTATTTCCAGTTTGACATGATACAAATAAAGTTGCCATAGAATTTAACACCCCCTCTTCCCCCCACCCCTCCCCCCGCACACTTTTATAAATTTGGGGTAAATATTTAGGAGTAGAAAGGTTGAATCATTGTGGCTAATTTTCTCTAGTTGTTTGGTTAAATTTTTAAATTAAGAAATTACCACCAAACAGTTTTCCACAGTGGTTGTACTAGTTTGTATGCCCAGCAACACTGCATCATGATCCCAATTCTACCTTACAAATCCGGCTGGACCGGAGGATGTACACTGGTACAGATAGGAACTGGAAATACAGGGAATCCAGGACTGATGAATCCTTCAGGACCAGTGGTGAGAATGGCGATACCGGGAGGGTGGAGGGAAGGTGAGGGAGAAAGGGGGAACAAATTACAAGGATCTACATATAACTTCCTTCCTGGGTGACAGATAGCAGAGAAGTAGGTGAAGGGGAGACATCGGATGGTATAAGATATGACAAAATAAATAATAATTTTTAAATTATCAAGGGTTCATGGGGGAGAGGGGAACAGGGAGGGATGGGAACAAATGAGCTGATACTAAGGGCTCAAGTAGAAAGCAATTGTTTTGAAAATGATGCAAATATGCAAATGTGCTTGACACAATGGATGTATGTATGGATTATGATGAGTTATACGAGCCCTCAATAAAATGATTTAAAACTAAAATAAAAGAATTAACCTTAAAAAAAGAGTTCTAGCTGCTCCACAGCCCTTGATACTCAGATGACTTAGTCTTACACTTTTCCTTTCAAATAGTTGTATAATTCTATTTTGTGGTACTTCCTTTGCATTTCCCTCATGACTAATTACACTTCAGCTTCTTTGCATGTGCTTATTTACCCCCCATATACCTTTTTGGTGAAGCATTTTGTTAACATTTTATTTTATATTGTGATGTTTGCTTTCTTATTATTGAACTTTGAATGTTGTTCATATATTCAGCATACAAACCCTTTATCAGATTTGTGTAGTGCAACTATTTCCCCCAGTCTGTGTCATTGGCTAATTAACCTATCTTTACAAAAGACTATGCTGTTTCAATTACTGTAACATTGCAATAGCTCTTGATATAAGGCAATGTTGGCTTTCCAATTTTCTTTGTGTATGTTTTTACATATCATAATGTTCATTAATTTTCAGGGAGTTTTGCCCTAGCCCAGATTTATGATGTTTTAATCACCTCACAAAGGGTTCTTGTGTCCATTTGCTGTTAATCTTTGCTTCCGTCCAAAGCCTTAGGCAGGAACCTTGGTGGTCTAGAACTGTTAACTGCAAGGCACTTTGAATCCCCGTTTCTCCCCAGGAGAAAGACGACGCTATCAGCATCCCTAGTCATTGAGACCTATTAGAACACTGACAGGGGCAGCCACTGTCGGTCAGAACCTTCTCCAGGGCAGTGGGTTAGAGGCCAGAGGCTCACATATATGGCTTCCATGTCCATGGCTTTGTCTTGTCTAGGAATGATAATTACAAATGGAATCAGACTATACATATATTTTTTCATTAAGTTTAAGTTTCATCCATGTTGTAACCTATCTTCGTGGTTTCTTCCTTTTTATTTGAATATGATTCCCTTTCAAAATTCTGACATCTTTTAAAATTCATTTACCAGTTCATGAAGATTTGGGTTGTGCCCACTATTTGTTTATAAAGCTTCTGTAAATCTTTGCACAGAATTATTTTTGTGAACAAAGACGGTAAGGGTTTCTAGAAAACCTCAATTGTATGTTGCCGTCGCTGTGTGGAGGGTACAAGACCCAGACCCATAGAATTACAATACAATGGAGTCAATGTTCGTATTTTTAAACAAGTTCCCCAGGTTGGTATGATAATCAGGAAGAACAGAGATCTAGGATTGTGTGTGTGTGTGTGTGTGTGTGTGTATTTTGGGAGTGGTGGTGGTGAATGCTGTGGGCTGGGGGTGGGAGGGTTTGGTTGGGGAGTGGCCAGGCAGAAGGCCTTGATCAATCAGCCATGTCTGCAGGAAGTTGCAGTAAAAATGTATTTTTGAAGCAGCTCTAACACACTGCTGCTTATAAATACTTTCAGATGAGCTCACTCATGAGGGCTCCTTTAAATAGCAAGTTAAAAAGAAAATAATACACATCATCCAAATTTGCCTGTGGACACAGAAAAGAGCAGGCGCACGAGAAGAAACTGTAGGTGTGAATCGATTGTCGTAATTAGGTGTGTGGACACAAGTCAAGGACACATCTTTCCATGAGGTGGCAAGCTGTGCGTTCTTACTCCCTTTGACTGTGATGTGCTGCTGTCCGGAAGACTTCACGTGCAGGAAGGACCAAACTCACTGCCCCTGTGGGTTCCCGAGACTGTCAACTGTCGAGGCCAGGGGTGCTCCCACAGAGCTACTAGGGGTTCTGAACTGCGAACCGCCAGGATTGCCGCCCAGCGCGTAACCACTATGCCACCGGGCCAGAGGCGGAGAAATCAGACTCCGGCTCTGAAACTTGGTTTGGAGGAGAGCGGGGTCGGGAAGCTCCTGGATTCTAGCTCAATGGCAGGAAACAAGCGCGGGACAACCTCTGTCCAAGCTCAGGGTCGCCAGGGGGTGGGGGGCGGGGGCGGGGAAGCGCTCCCTGGAGCAAGGGCAGTTTCTGGGCCG